CAAAATGACTGATGCCTTAATAAAAAGGCAGCATGTAGTTGATATTTGGCTGTTTGGTGTTGTATTGGCATGACTTAAATGCTGCATTTTGTTTGTCTTGACATCCACCACCACAGAAGTTAACTTCAAAAATAAGAAGTGATTGTGCCAGTTGAGTCGGGGTGCCCTGAGGAAGGCTTGGAGTAGCTGGCTGTGGCCCACCTCGTTCAAATCCCCTGGGCATGAATGTGATTGTCTGCTTGCAGCTCTGGGAATGCCCAGCTGCTGATCTGTGTTGTGCCAGCACATGCAGGAGCACAGCTCTGAGAAGAGCAAGAGCCAATTCAAAATCTGCTGGTCAGAACGCTGGTGGGCAGCCTTGGATGGGACAACATGGGCTGGTTCAGCGTCTTGTAGAAAGAGTTGGAGTAAGTTACGTAGCCATCAGAAGGTGACCTGGGTCAGCTGCTCAGCTGACAGGCACTGGGTGAGAGGCAGCATGTGGCAATGCAGTGGTACCCTCGCCTCAGATAGTGGCATCTTTGGACTGAGCTTGTTTGGCCAGTGCCATTAACTGCAAGATGCTGAGCTTTGTTTAACAAAGGCAATGTTACATTAAAACATAACTGAGCTAAATCAATAGCTGTGCTGCTCTGAATGCAGTGCTGGTGGAGACAGTGCCCCTGGTTTTCATTTCAGATGCTGCTGTTAAAATTAATTTCAAGGATTCATCTGTCCCTGTGCAGAAGATAAAGCACATTAAAGGCTTTGGTTGTTTATACTTATCCTGTCCCCAAAAAAAGGATAGAGCAACAAAGAGAAGCAGAAGGGTTTTTTTGGGTTTGGTTTTTTTTTTTTTACCAGAGAAGAGGAAGCAATTCTTGGAGGGTCTCTGAGGACTGTTGCCACTAGGTCAAGACCCAAGACTGGGAGCTCAGGGTGCAGGGTGGAGTTCCCCTCTTGTCTCAGCGAATGAAACCTGCTTCTTGTGGCCTGTCACGTAAGCATGATCTGTTAGTCACTTTTTCCCCTGAAAATAGTTCCTGCAAGTAGAATAAAACATTCTTTCATGTTGGTGCAAAAAGTATAAGTATTTAACACATTTACATGTACTTTAGTTAACAACTTGTGTGGTTGATTTGCCATCCACCCCCTAAAATAAAGACTGATGTTTCCATTAATTACATGATGATTACTTTCCAGCAGGATAAATCAGCCCCTGCTGAGCTCCAGGCTGCCACAGCTAGTCTGGTACCTATGCCTGAATTCAATACTTTAAAGCTGACTTCAATATTTCTTTCACAAGTACTACCTGTCTGAAGGCTCCTAGACATAACCACAGACACCTATAATGTCAGTAGAATCCCTGCCTTCTGGGCAAGTCTGAATGACTTCCTTTGTATTTATCAGAGATGAAAAGTAAACATGCTTATGGAGCTTATCGTGTTTCCGTCCTGCTTGTAACATCACGTGTGTGCACATCTGAATGCACAAACCCATGCATAACATGAGCTCAGCTTTGAAAGCATCTGCCTGTTTGATTGGTAAAGCAGATATTTCCCTATGAATTTGACATTGTCCTGACTTTATTCTCCAGGGAATTTTGAAAAAGTGTCCAGATGCTGTGAGCCTATTGGCTCATGGTGGTTTTCTCACTAATTTTCACATTCATGTGTGCATACGATATGTATGGATATGTATGGTGTGTGTGAACATTTGTGCTGTTGTAGTGAGAAAGATGCAACCATAGTCATGTTACCTAAATAAGAATTTGTCTGTTCAAAGCACTACTCAGGGGTGCATGACTTGGCAATGGAAACAATAAGTGGTGTCTGGTTTTAGTTCTGACTGCTATCTTTTCAGACTAGACAGGTCTTGGCTGTTGCACATTTTTGTTCCCCTCTCTTTCATCCATTGCTCTTTCTACCACTACTCTGTCACTGCTCTCAGTGCCTCCCCAGATGTTCCCCAGTCTGGAGTGACTTGCCTGTCATTGCTGTCCATAACTTGCCAGTTAGGTTTGACCTTTTGATGTGTGGTGGAGCTGAATTCTCTTTTCTTGGTAACTGAAAATGTATTTTCTGAAGCTGCGTGGTTTGGGACGCTGTATGTACAGAAATGTTTTTATGGTGGTTATTGTGGTAATGAAAGACCTGTTGAGTTCTTAGCAGTCAAAAGAGTCACTTAGAATAATGAAGACATTTGAATACAAGGCCAGTGAGTTCATTCCTGTTTTACTTCAGGGTCTCTTAGGAGTCTTCTCTATGTTCACAGCTACTTTTCTGTTGCTTGCACTTCCTCATGTGTCTCATCTTCACTCATCATGACATTGACATCACTTGACATGCCTGGCCAACATACAGCATCTGTTATTTTCCACACTCAGGCCACCACCCTGGAATTGTAGAAAAAAGGATTCCTTCTTTCTAATGATCTGTGCCACATGATTTGATTGTCTCATGCCTGCTCAATTCACATTCTGAGTTGCTGTCTTTTTGAGGCCAACATACAGCATCTGTTATTTTCCACACTCAGGCCACTACCCTGGAATTGTAGGAAAAAAGGATTCCTTCTTTCTAATGATCTGTGCCACATAATTTGATTGTGTTATATATGACTTCATGCCTGCTCAATTCACATTCTGAGATGCTGTCTTTTTGAATGGCCATCCTGAGAGAAAGATGGATCCAAACACTTATGAAACTCATGTTGGGTGGATGCATTTTCTGACATCAGTGCTGCATAGCTCATTGGGATGGAGCCCACATTCTGCTCCACTGAACACCCCTTTTCATGTGGCAGCACCCTGAGGTTGCTGTCCTTGGTCACCAGTTCCTTGTGAAGGCTGTGCTGCATTGAATTACAGTGTCTGTATTGCAGTTTATCTCTTGTCATAGCAGTAGTTTGTCTGCATCTGAAGGGCTCAAATGATGGTGTCAACAAGCCCTAATAACCTCTGAGCCCAGCTGCAGCTTTAGCAGTGGTGTCTTCTGAGTTCTTTTCAGATTCAGCTCGTAGCTCGTGCAATAAAAGCAAGGATGGGTTGTGTGTAGTTTTTTAGCTGTTTCCAGCTTCAATGTATGCAACATTTCCCCATATTTGTGTTTTCTAGCAAACACCTGAAGATACAGCTGTGCTCTGCCACCTCTTCTGCCATCCTGTCTCCTGTGCCCATACCCCAGAACAGTTTTGATTCCGAGTGTCAGAAATCCTGCTGGTTGCTTTTGCTGAGGACATTAATATTCCTTGGTGCAGGCTGGTTCCCACATGGCACTCCTTGGCATCTGCTGGTGCCCACTGTGCTGTGAGGTGGCTGTTGTCCTTCCACAATACCTTGTGTCTCTGGCAAGGAGTACTGAGGCTGCTCTGGCCCACCCAGGTGGTGTTTCTCAATGAGAGTTTTTCCAAAGGCTTTGCACAACTTCTGTGTCTATGCAGAAGTGATGTTACCTGGCTCTAGGAAGGAAGTAGAGAGGTAGGAGGAGCCAAAGCAATTACCTGCCTTTTCAGTAGCCTCACACTGCTTATCCAGCTTCTGGGTTCTTGGCTTTAGCAGTGATGCCTTCAGCATTTATTTTATTGCTCCCATAATTTTTCTTTCATGTGAGGGTGCTTGGTGAAGCAGATGCTGTACTGGCTAGGCTGTTCTACTTTTCAGGTGTAACACGCCTGGGAAGCATCAACTGCTTCAGAAGCATTTTGGTAATACCAGGCAGATGTCAGTCCTTCAAACTGGGGCTTTGTGTGTGTGCATCATGTGTATGGCTGGTGACGTCTTTGAAGATGCTTTATTCCATTTATACTTGCAAAAACGTGGCTGATTTGCTCCCTAAACTTTTTGGGGATCTCTAGAAACTTTGATCTCTACAGGCTCTTACTGTTGACCTTACATACACAGTGTGGAAGTGGGACTCCAGAGGGGAGGCTGAGGTGTCACCTGAAGTATGGGGGAATGAAGTCTATGTGTCTGCTCAAACTGAGCAGATGAGGAATGTGAATTTCCTAAGGGAGTACTTGAATCAGGAGGCAGCTGATTACTCCAGGGACTCTCCCTCTCTACTTATTTCCTTGCTTGAGGACATGGATGTGAATGCTGCATTACTCTGATGATGGAAGGGAAATCTTGCTGGATGCTGCTGATTGTGGGAAAGACAGGCAGGATGCTGACATGCCACCAATGCCTCTACATTTCATGCCTGCTCAGTTCTGGAGCCTTCCCTGTTGAGTAGTGCCTCTGTGCCTGTGGAACAGCTTTGTACCCAGGCAGTTCCCTGCCTCAGGCTGAGCATTTCAAAATCAGAAGGCTTTGAAGGATCTATAAGAGGATAAGCTTCTCCCATGGTGAGTGCAGTTGTGTTCATGACTTCAGGTAAAACAATGGCTTCTGTGCTGGGAGTTTTTCATCCAGGTGTTCTTTCTCCTTAGTCCACTTGCAGATTGAATGCTATGTTTGTTGTACTGCTGGGTCATTTCAGTGTTCCTTTTGTGGGTGCAGTGTTGTTTTCTTCTTTTGTGTAATGTTGTGGAACTTCGTGTAGCTCAGTGCTGTCACTGTTGACCTACAAGCAATTTGGTGTTGCTTTTTCTTTTGTGCATTGTTGTTATCCTTGACTCCTAAAGTATTTCAGGCTTTACCAACCAACTGACGTTGGCTGGTTTGCATCACACTAACATCACATATGTCCAAAAGTTAAAAGCAATTGTTTTAAGAGTATTAGGAAAATTCCAAGGTCTCCAAAGGTAGAAAAAGCCAGAGTCAAAGCTGCTTGGACAGCTTGGCTGGACTTAGTTATGTAAAAGGATGAAAGAACCTGAAGTTTTGAAACCATGCTCTGCTTCTCCAGTTTATAAACAAAAGAGAAGTCTGACAGTAGGGGCAGAATGGTGTGTGGGCATGCCATGAAAGTCTGTTTGAATGTCCCAAAGGGCCCAACTCAAGGAATTACTGGTAATCTTCATCTTAGGGCTTCTTAACCTTTTGAAGCCTCAAGCTGGCAAACTAAAAGATTAAACTCATGTAGGTTTTGGTGAATAATTCCCCATGTTTGGGGGACAGCAGAAGACAAGCCCTTTAGGCCTGCCCTATGGATATCACCATTTGCATTAATGGAATAATGGAGAGCTGCAGCAAATTGCCTGATGGTCTGGAAACAGAGTAGGATGCTCTGCTTGCAAGAGTATTACAGCTGTTTTCTCATGGTACAGGTAAGAATTTAAAGGTATTGAAGCCAATTCTAAAGCCCAGATGCAAAGAGTGTGAATACCCATCCCCACACAAAGAAAGGGTGCTCACAAGAAGTGCAGGATTGTTCCCTTTGCAAGCAGAGTGATCAGTGTGTATCAGCAGCGTCTTCCAAAACTGGGCAGTCTTCTGTTCAAGTGTTTGCCTACCAGATTGCAGGATTGTTCCCTTTGCAAGCAGAGTGATCAGTGTGTCAGCAGTGTCTTCCAAAACTGTGCAGTCTTCTGTTCAAGTGTTTGCCTACCAGATTTCTGTTTTCCATTGGGAATACTGAAGAGATCAGCTCTGTGGATTTTAATCTGTGCTTGGGATCTCTCGAGCCAGTGGCTAAAAGATGAAGACAATTGGTTTGCAACTTGAATTCAATTATGTTTCTTTTATGTAGATACAGTGGATTCAGTATGTCATACCAGTATGACAAAAAAGGGAAGTGAATTATCCTGGGCCCTGAAACTATTGTTGGGGAAGGAAAAGATTTGTAGATGTTAGTTAACATACTTTGACAACTATTTGCCAAAGCCATTCATTACATCTGCCTCTGCATTAGAAAGGGCACAATATTTCATTTTCCATTTCCTTTCACAAATAGAAAATTAATTGCATAGACTTGCACAAAGTGCAGATATAACTCGTTATGTATTGTTAAGGCTGTCTGTGATAAATTTATCAAGCTTAGACAAAAAGTACTCTGAAATCACAATGGATCTATCTTAATTAACGTTCTTTAAGTGACAGTTACACCTGTTTGGAAATGGGAGGTAAAAGACAAGTTTTCCAGAAGCACAGTAACACAGTGGTCTCTGGTTATAGAGGAAGCTGGCAAACATGAACTATGCTTTGATTTGAGCCCTGTTATACCTTTCATGAATCAAATTCAAAGTCCTGTTTTGCAAATTAATTATTCCAGTGTATCTGAAAAAAAAACAACCCCAAAACAAACTGGGCTGTTATGACCATGCAATAATGGTTATCTTGCTGTTCCTAGTGATGTAATGGAGCAGTTATGTGGGGTGAAGGTGAACCCATTAAAGTCCATCTCCATAATGCAGTTAGGACATATGCTCTTTATGGAACTCTCCAGCCATAAAACCATCCTACTGTTATCCATTCTTGGTTATAGTGCTGATACAGCTTATCTCTGCTGGTGCCACTGGAGTGGTGCTGGGGAGACTGTCCCTAATGACAGCACAAACCAGAGGGTGATCAGAAGTGGTGTCACAGTTTACAGAAAGGAGCAGCAAACAGGAGGAGGTCGGGGACACCAGGACATGTTACTGCCATGTGTCAAGTTGGCTTAGCAAAGAAATACCACAAGATGGAAGATAACGGAGAAAATGGGAAGTTTTGAGCTTTTGGCTGAAGGAAGACGGACTTGCTGATGGATGGCTGGGCACTGAGAGGAGTTTTCAATAAGCTGATATTTCACTCTGGTTTCCTCTGGACTGAGGTTACATCCTGGCTATAGATTCCATGGGGGAAGAGCATGAGACTGGCAGCCAGAGGCCTTACAGGGGTGAAGGGGGAGTGTGGTGAGCACCAGTCTTCATTGCTGTCTGTCTACAGAAAAACACTTGCTGAAAAGACAGCCTAAATATGCATTTTGAAGTTCTACAGTTGTTAAATTGTGATTTAGGAGTTATCTTGTTAACTGCAGATTTGGTTTCAGAGATCGACTCTCAGAGCTTTTGTTACAGGTCTCACTTTCAGCTGGTGGGTTATAAACAGGCTGAAACTTCTGCTTTTCACGGGTGCTTTTCCAACACTATCCTCTGACCTCCATTTCACCCCTTCCTGCACTCCTTTCCCCCACGTCTAGATTTTTTAGAGTGCTGAGATCAGCTCTTTATTTTCACCAGTACTTTTTAGGTTTGAATTCTAACAACAGAAAATAGAACTAAGTTTAATGCAGTGTCTTTCTATTTTTCTTGTTGTGTTTGCCAAGAAACTCAAATTTTTAAAAAACATCCGTCCTGCAGAACCCAGTATCAGCCTATTTCCTTAGTTGCTTCAAACAGTTCTAGAGTTCCTTGAGTTTTTCTGCTCAGCTATGCAGATGTGAAACATTCCTCCCTCAGTCTGAGCGTGTACAGACCTCTCAGTGGCAGAGCATGATGGAATTTGTGTGATGCACATACCTCATTCCAGTCACAAGTGTCATTAACAGCAAAACCATGTTACAATTTCCACCAAACAAGCCTCAGACTCAGACTTGAAAATGTAGGTGTTTTTGGTTTGTTTTCCTGAAGTGGTGTTTGTTTTATTTGGCTTCTGAGATTATCAAGGATTTGGTAATGCAGGGATAAGTGAGTTCACAGGAATCTGGTGGAGATCTAGTTGTGTTTTTTTTTGTTCAAATATGTAGATTAATGTGTGCAGGTCAAACAATCCTTCAGTCTGCAAGGGCACTGCTGCTGATGTTGGTGGAAGAAGTTTGCAAAGACATCTCAGAGCACTTGCTGTTTTAGTGATGGACCCATTTCCTCTCTGTTTAGAGCCTTGTTACAGCCCCTTCTGCAGGAAAATTCACAGTGGTGCTAAAAGGGCATATTTCCCTTCCTTTCTTCTGTTTCTTTCCTTGCTGCAGCTCCAAATGTCCTCTTTGCTATTCACTACTGTCCTGTTTTATCTGTTCCAATGCTGTCAGCAGAACAGCTGATGCTGACCTCCTATGTGCCATTGTTATGTTTTAGTGCCAGCATCCCAAGGTAGGTGACAGAGTTTTCATTTCTTGGCTCTTATTTGAAATTCTAACTTGGCTAGGTTTCACTGCCTTGGTTAAAACTCTGGGCATGAACTGAAGATTCTCTTTCACAGACAAACAAGGGGAAGAAAGTTCTGACACCATAGAATTGGAATATGCTGTTCAGGCTCTCAAAATATACCAGGTAGGAAGAATGGAGCTCCTGGCTTTGAATTTAGCAAATCAGTGGTGTGTGGAATTAGACTGAGGATGTCTCAGCCTTTGGATTCTCCTGCACTTTACAGTGGTGGTTGTCACTGCTTTTTTCATCTTATTGATGGAAGACCTTGAGGTTTAGTCACATGTGACTTTCACCTCTGCCAGTGCCATTCCCAGATTGGATTAGAGATTAGGTTTGTCTTCTTTTTCTTCATCCTTCTCCTGGCTCCATATATTTGAGTCTACTGGCCTCCAGTCTCTTTGAGATCAAGCTACTGTGTTCAGCAAAGACAAACCTGTGTCTTATTCTGTAATCTGAGAAGTTGCTCCCTTTCAGTCAATAATTACCCAGAATTTTTGGGGATTTACAGCCCTGTCTATTCTAAGATTTCAACCCATTCCCTGACTGTGGTTTAGAAGATGGTGGAAGGTGCTTCAGTCAATAATTACCCAGAATTTTTGGGGATTTACAGCCCTGTTTAATCTAAGATCTCAGCCCATTCCCTGACTGGTTTAGAAGATGGTGGAAGGTAAATGGAAAAAAGGGAGATCTGTGAGGAGTTGAAGGTTTTTCATTTGCTTCCACAGCTGCTTCCATGCAGGACTTCTAAATCAACTTCCAAAGTCTTTGGCATAAACTTTTGCTTATATCCAAGAAATAATTTTCTGTGTCCATTGCATTCTAATAAATCTGAATACCCATTTCTGGTGTCCAGCTTCAAAAATCTCAATTCTTCTCAAATAATATTTAGAAAACAGAATAACGAGTAGTATGTATCTCTGACTTTTGTTGCTTGGGTTTGCAGATGAAGAATATGGGTTTGGATTGTGGGTTTAAGATGCAAGGCTAGATTTATTTAATATGATTGGTATGTCTCATACAAGGTGAGCTCACAAGCCATGGTTTGGCACAGCCCACAAAACATCCAGATAACCTTAAGCAACAGACTGATTTCAATTAGATCCTTGTCAGGGCTACACCAATCAATTTAAGAAGCAACAGCATGTAACTTCTGTGACACAGCTTTCACAATGTGAATAATTCATAATTAATGTTATGAGGACTTTAAGAGGTAGAACAGTGCACAGATAATCTATGGCCTCTTCCCTGTGCATGAAATACTCAGTATTTGCAGTGAACCTCTATTGAACTGGACTACACTCCACAGAAGTTTACCTTAAACTGAAGAAGATACAAAGAAATTGTATTTGAAGTTGTAATTCAAAAAGAATAGTGAATGCTAATTGCCTACAGCATAAAGTAGGCTGTTAAAGTAAGATTTTGTGATTTCTGTTGGTTAGCTCATCTCAAAGGCTGGTGGATGTGCATAAATGTGAGAGAGCTTAGAAGTTTAAATTACTTGGTTTAAAAATCACACCACATTTAGAGATCTAATGTTGGTGAAAAAGTGCCCTTTCCACACTGCCCATATTTATTCCTTCACAGGAATAGCTGAAAAGGATTCATGTCTGTCAGTAATGCAGGGAAGATTTTGTGATTTCTGTTGGTTAGCTCATCTCAAAGGCTGGTGGATGTGCATAGATGTGAGAGAGCTTAGAAGTTTAAATTACTTGGTTTAAAAATCACACTACATTTAGAGATATAAAGTTGGTGAAAAAGTGCCCTTTCCACATTGCCCACAGGAATAGTTGAAAAGGATTAATGCCTGTCAGTAATGTAGGGCCATGGTGAGATGCCCTCTTTGGGCTCCTCTCTGCAGGCCAGGGGCAATGATGCCCCAGCTGCTGATCAGCACCAGCACCAACAGTCCCTCTTCTGTGTTGAGCAAAGTGCCAGCCTAGTTCAAACAGCTTGAACTCACCCAGCTGATTTTGTCTGTCATGTGGCAGGAAGGGAACATCTGAGCTCCTGAGTGGATAAGGAGAAGAGTTCACAGCAGCGCTGTCCTCAGCTGGGCTGTGAAGAATCTGTCTGTGGCCCAATTGTCTCCACAGGGTCTTTTGTGCTGCAGCTGAGGCACTGCCTGTTGTGTGTGGACAGGGCTGAAGGCAGGGGAATGGGTCTGCATAGATCAGTCACAGCCACATCAGTGGGGAGAGAGAAATTGCTGTGTGGGGCAGTCGCACTGTGAAGAAAAAAGGGAGCGCTCACTTCCTCTCCCTGCAAAGCCATCCCTTCCCTCCCAGCCCCTGCAATTATCTGCTCCAAGCTGTTTTTCCACTGGATTATCTGCAGAGGAGTTCTACAATGAGCATTGAGAAACAAGCCAGTACAGAAGCAGTAGTAGGACATGGGAATTTCTTTCTGATGTCCTGGCGTGTTCCAAGTCAGTTTGATATGAGATGCACAGAGGTGGCCACCAGGCTATGTGTCTTTACTATGAGTGAGGAGACAAGATTTCTCCAAGTCTTTTCCCTTCTCAAGACAAGGAATGTGCAAGAAGTTCCTGGTTTTAGAGTTTACTAGCTCATCACAGTCTGCTTCCCTCTGGAGATCACCAGAATGGAGGGGGAGATCAATGACAATTTATTTATCCCGAGGGACAGTGCAAGCTCCCTCTGTTTCACAACCCATCATGACTCACCCAGCCATGTTTGCTTTTTTCTGTTTGATAGAATTGATGTATTTTACACTGAGCTGTATTATGAACAGAGTTCAAAGCAACTGTGTGTGATGGGATTGATTCTTTGTAAATGAACTATTTTCTGTTCCAGGGTTCAAGCTCAGAATGTCAGAGTTACTTTTTCATTTTGGAAGGACTACCTCTTTTTTCAGGCAGGAAACAAAAGCTTATGCTACAGAGCATTTCTTGGAACCTTGACTCTATAAATAACTGTTCTGTAGAGCACCCAAAATACACCAAAATACCAGGTCTAGTATGAGCCGTGGAGGAAGTTTATGCAGCTACTTACTAATTTGACCCTTGCATCAGTGCTTGATGTGCTGCTCCCCTCCACAGCATGTCAGTGGAGAAGCCCCACAATTGCAAGAGTGGCATGACTGCATGTTCTTAACATCCTGTGTTCACAGCAGGACAGGGCTGGTTCTTCTGAACCTGGATTCAGAGAGGAGTTTTAACAGTTCTAGGTATGTACCTCTGCTGAACCTCCAGCAAAAGGTGGAGTAAGGCCTAGTGTAAGTATGCTGGACTGAGGAAAATGTTAAATATGTATCCATATCAGCATCCAGCAGCTGTCAGGATAAAGGAAGTGGTGTGCCAGTTGGTGCACACAGCAGCATCCTGTTGTGGAGAAAAATGCTGACCACACTTCACCTTTTGAGCCAGCTGCCTTCAGGGATTTTCTATCAGAATCCATCCTCTAAATGCTCCTCATCTTCCAGCCTCCTCTAAAGTCTTCTTTGTCTTCAGGTCAGTTATTCTTACAAGGTTCTTCTCCAAGTTTCAGTAAAAACCCAGGGGATACTTGGCAATCCACTGGAACTGAAGAAAGCCGAAATCATGACTTGGCAATCTATTTTTGATAAGCTGACTTTCAGGATTTATTCATTCCTACTGCATGTGTCTGAAACTCAGTCCAGTAGGCATAAATGACACATGAACAATGGAATAAAGGTTGTACCTGAAGTGAATGTTTCTTTTTATTTCTTCATCTTTTAAAAATAGTTTCTGTAACAGACTTTCAAAATCACTTGTACCTTTGTGGGGTCATCTCAGATGTCTTTGGTATCCAGGTGTATTTTTCTTGAAAAGCTTGATTTTTCAGACCATAGATACTTAGCAGAGTTTTGTTTCTCAGCTCTAAAAAATTAAACCTTCAGAGTCACCTACCACTGTGTCCAGTTGCTGTTTGTTTCACCTGCAGTTAATAAACTTTGTAATATGGACTGACTGTACCTAAATAATCGATAACATTTTCATTATCAGCTTCGTTATCAGTTTCTCACAGATGTCACAAAGGCAAT